TAACTTGTCCAAAGAAGAGGTTAAGGGTTCCTGCTTTGGGATGAGACCACCTAGGTTTGAATTCCAGTCCTACCATGCTAGGTACACGATTTCAGAAAAATCATATACTTTCTCTGGGTCTCAGTTTCCTCATATGTAAAGTGGGGATAATGGTGGCACTTAATCCTCAGCGTTCTTGTGAAGTGTAAAGGGCGTGGAACAATGTCTGATGCAAGTGGACCCTGAAGGTCCGCTCTTTGATTATCATTATGACATTCCCAAGCTCACGACCAACAACCATCAGAGCTATGGAAGGCTGCAGAAGGGTCAAATGTCCCCACTCTGTGAAGCCTTCTCTGCAGGGTGGGTAGGGCTCCTCCTGATCAGTGACCGCTGAAAGAGGGCCATGTGGAAAGGCACCTGCCCCTGTCACCGCGGGATCACAGTCTGACCCAGTTTCCAGTGGGCCCCCACTGGGGCCGGTCCAGTGTCACTCACCTCCAATCCCACCTCAGCAGACAGGGAGCCAGGTTTCACGTGGCTGATGAAGATGCCAGGCTTCTGGATGGGGCCGCTGGAAATGCTGTGGGAGGTGGGAAATGTGTGCTTAAGATACAGGTCACTCATGAACTCAGGAATGAAGGCCCTCGGCTGCCTACCTCTTCAGCCTCTGTCTCCCCGTCCAGCCTGATTTCTACTGCTACCCTGGGCAACAGCCACAGAAAACTCCTTGTAATTCTTCCTACCCAATCTCTCACCTAATATACCTCATATGTTGTTTCTTTTTTCTTTCTAACGCTTTCCTGTCCATTCCTTAAGAACCAAATGCTATCCCTTCTATGAGGTTTTCAGCAGATCCTCTTTTTTAAAAAATTTATTTTTTAGAGACAGGGTCTTGCTCTGTCACCCAGGTTGGAGTGCAGTGGTGTGATCATAGCTCTCCACAGCCTCCAACTCCTGGGCTCAAGCAATCCTCCCACCTCAACCTCTTGACTAGCTACGACTACAGGTGCACACCACCATGCCTGGCTCAGATCCCTTATTCTATCCCAAGACCAAGCTATTTGCTCGGTTCTCAGTGCTCCTGTGACATTTACGGCAGGGATGGCACATGTACTGTTATTACTCCCTCCTACATTGGTGGCAGAAATCACTCATTGATCACAGCACTCTTTCCCACAAGCCTGGATATAGCTTTAGAATCCTTTTCAAAGCAGCACTCCAGGGAGCTCCTACTAATTGATTAGAGATGGCACCTATTTGCCATCCCGGACACAGAATGTAGTTCCATTTGAGTCCCTATCACCCTATATTATAACTGCTTATGTGGTTGGCTTCTAGATTAGGCTCTTGTCTCCCAGAAGGGAGGGACTTTTTATCACTTATGCTTGGCACAAAACATGGAATAAATGTGAATGAAGGGAAAGAAGAGGAATAACTCAAATCATAACAGCTAGTATCTACCAACTGCTTACTGTTTAGCAGGTACTAAGCTTGGTACTTTACTTTCTCCACAATCACCCTGTGATGTGGGAATTATTATCGTCAATTTATAGAGGGAGAAACTGAGGCTGCAAGTGGTTAAGTAACTGGCCCAAGGCTCCAGAGCTCTTAAGTGGGAAAGCAGGGCTGGAACTGGGATCTGAGTAACGGTGGAACCTGTACGCTTGAGCCCTGTGTGGCCCAGTATCTGTTTGGATTCCCCGTCTGCCTCTTAAGGAAGCCAACAAGGTAATAAGTGATAAGAGAACTGTAACAGAGATGACCAGCTGAACAGGCTCCTTTTGCAGTGACTCAAGGACCTACAAGATAACATGGTTCTCCCTCTAGGCCTCAATTTCTTCATCCGTAAACTGGGATCTATTAGAGATGCCCCTCGGGCCCTACAGGCCTGTCGTGAAATTCAGAGGGGAAATCAGGCACCAGGAAGTGTCATCACCAAGGCTGGGTGCGGTGCTTCATGCCTCTAATCCCAGCACTCCGGGAGGCTGAGGTGGGAGGATCATTTGAGCCCAGGAATTTGAGACCAGCCTTGACAACATAACAAAACTCCTTCTCTACAAAAAAATTAAAAGTTAGCTGGGTGTCATGGTGTGTTTCTGTAGACCCAGCTACTCAGGAGGCTGAGGTGGGAGGATTGCTTGAGCTGGGGAGGTCAAGGCTACAGTGAGCTATGATCACGCCATTGCACTCCAGCCCAGGTGACAGAGCCAGACCCTGTCTCTAACAAAAAAATACCATCACCCATGGACAAGTCACACCCCTGGTGGGCAAGGTTTCCTCAGAAGCAGCAGCGAGGAAGGGGAGGGTAATAGGGGCCTGCTGGGGTGCACTGGCCACGAATGACCCCTGGGCATGCCCACCACCCACCTGCAGCCAAGGCCCCGGGAGCCCACCAGGCTGATGAAGACCTTCTTCTCCTTGTTTTCCCGATTTCCGGGGGAGCCCAGGCTGCCTCGCCCCCCCTGAAAGGGAGATAGAAGCAGAATCTCTGAGTGTCCACACGCGTGCAAGCGGCCTCTTGAGCTCGTGGGATCTGCAGGGTGAGCACTGCTGAACTCACACCAGCCAGATCATCATTCTGTCCCTGGGGATGTGTCTGCACCAGCCTGGCCTGGCTGAGGGCCACTGCCCCACAGCAGTGTGCTGGCTGCCCTGGGGGCCTGTGTGAAGTCCCTGAGAGTGCATCTCTAGAGCAAGCCCTCCCTTTAGGACTGGCCGCCCATCCTTGAAGATGACCCATCACAGGAGGTCTGGCCCTTACCCCAGACTCTGACACAAACTGATCCACATACTGCCACTTGAGGGGCTCATCAGGAGAGCTGATGGGAAGGGAAAATAGATGGAAGGGTGGTTAGCGAGAGACGTTTGAGGAACCAGGCCCCAAATCCAGATCCACCATGTCTACAACCTCCAGCCTCCACTGGCCCAGGAGCAGGGCTGGCATGGTGAGTGCTGGACCCCAGGGCTGTACCAGGACCCCAGGCCCACAGGGAAGAGTCGGCTTGCAGAGGAGGGGCCTCTCACCTCTTCACGGGGATCAGGCCAATGTCTGTGGGAGAAAGGCACAGGGGTTAGGACAGCTCCTCCACCCTCCCTCCCTCCCACCATCATGGAGCCCTGTCCTGCTCTAGTCTCACTCACGTCTCACTTTGATGGACACAGTTTTCTTGGTTCGGATGAGGTTGATGACCTCCTCATGGGTACAGGAGGAGATGGAATATCCATTGATCCGGACGATCTCGTCCCCTACCTTGACCACAGAGAGAGGCAGGGAGCACTGGCTGGAGGGAGCATCAGGCAGTGGGGCAGACTCACCACCAGATGCTCCCAGACTGCTATCCGGAAAAGGGAAGGGTGGCCATGCCATCCCCTGGAATAAGCCTTGATCTCAACCAACCCACCCTCCATCAGCCTGGGGGATCCCAGGTTCAGGTGGCACGTCCAAGCAGTCTTGCCGCCCCATTTTACAGATGGAGAGACCAGGGCACAGCAGGTGTGCAGCAGAGCTGGGAGAAGATCTCAGAACTCTCTGCACCCTCACCCTGGTGCCCCTTTCACTCCACTGGGGCACCATCAGATTCTGGATTCTATGCAAAGGGTGACCTTTCACTCAGCTTTAAGCTATTCTTACCGGGACTTTGTCCCAACCTGCCCCTAGGAAGTTGGCTCCCTTTTTCTGCTAATTGCTACAACACTGTAACTGAGTCAGGGTGGGGACCTTCTGTGACTCCTGACCCAAGCTCACATCACCGACACACACACACACACACACACGATTTTTTTTCCCCACCATATGGAAACTTGATGAACATTTTAACTCTGCCGTGGCCCTGACCTCTCAATTCCTATTTTGGGAGCAAGCAAAGAACAGTGGATGAGCACAGGGCTTTGGCATCAGATGTGCTGGGTTCAAATCCCTTCTTTTATTATTATTAGCTATGTGACCTTGAGCAAGTCTCTTGAACTCTCTGAATCTGTTTTCCTCGCCTGTAAAATGAGGAATACCAAGGTTGCTGTGAGAATTAAGTGAACTTGTGCATGTAAAGCCAGCTAGTGCCTGGCACACAGTAAGCACTCAATACATGAGTGTTATTGTTATCATGAGTTAGTCCTGATCCCTGAATACTCAGCTCAGATCTCTCTTCTCAGGGCTTAGGCCACAGCGGATTGTGAGATAGGGACTCGGCCCTGGGCAGCCAGCCCTGGATACAGCGCCGTGGTGAGGTTGCCCCCTGCTGGACACTGCCGGCTCCTCCAGGCACCCTGGCCCCGGGGATCAATTCTGGAGCTCCTCATTTAATAACCACAGAGCAGGAGGGACTCTCTCAGATGTCAGCTGAAACTGAGGCCCAA